GAATTAGGCTATACTATAATTAAACTTCGAGCGAGTTCTCTAAACCTAATCGCCGCTTGCTGCGACTCATTCTCCGAGGCATGTTTGACAAGATTAGCAATAATCACCGCTAACGAATCTTGGTAATGAAAAAATGATCGAGATGGAACTTGTTGACTCCGCCTTCATAGGCGGAGCCAGCTTATTGTTGCTGAGCTGTCGCGCTTCTATCAAGCATTCTGTAGAATATCCTCTGTGACAACAGGCTTGCCTTCCTGTACACTGAAGGATTTCTGCACCTTAGTTGATCGCAGGCGCTATCTTTGACCTTAGACATTGACCTTAGACATATTTTGGTGAGCTCGACTGTACCGATTACAAGCACAGCGTCTACTCTTGACCCTCACGCCATTTCGGCGGCAGAATATTCCGCCAAATCGAAATGATGGTAACCGAGGTTCTTTTTCACAAAATATCACGCGAGGAAAAGGAATAGATATCCATCCCTTTTTTCCCCGCGCCACTCTGTTCTAGTGATCCAGAGCCCACGGTAGTGCTCTCGAGCTTATCCACAGCAGAACGCAAACAATCAATGATGCAGAAAACCCTAGAGCATAAGTCTCTATCGATTGAATATCAACAGATAAAGTTCCAAGATAAAATTCTGAGGATGAACATTGTTTTGAGAAGGCAGTCTAGTCCACAAAGGGTATACCACTGCTGCTTCTCAGAAATACGCTAGGAGCCCGTGGAAGTCACTTTCCACGCCCTCGAGCAGAACTTTATGTCATGCTGCACTTCCAGGGTGACGGCGAGTATGAAGACGTGGACTTGGTCGAAGCTCGGGCTCCTACTATGAAACCCGGAATGTTGGACGACCCGGAGATAAAAACAGTTCTACCAGCTTTACCGGGAGACGATCATATGGTAGATCCCTTAGGTGAGGCTGAAAAGCAAGTAATCGACGCTGCTTCAAAAGAGTCAATAGGGTGGGTTTTCCTTTCGGTATCTTCTTTGCCGCGTAATACGGAAATACTGCCTTCGATTCTCTTGTATTCAGCTTGCTGCTCAAGGTGGAACCTCCAAAGGCAATATTTAAAACGAGTGGGGGATTGTCGAAGCACACTGTGACGAACAAAGGCCAAAAACGGGTGGTCTTCAAAATTAAATGCTCAAATAACAATGACTACGGTATACATCCAGTATTCGGATTTATCGAACCAATGTCACCGACGACTGTGATGATCACTCGTTTGCCAGGAGTTCCAAAACAGGACAAGATAGTAATTCAGTGGGTAGATGCTCCAGCTACTGCGAAGGATCCTAGAGAGGCGTTCAAAGCTGCTTCACCTTGGACGTTGCAGGCAATTAAAATTTTCATGGAGATAACTGCTGATACCGCGGCAGCAGCAACTCCGCCTGCACCTGCTGCTGCAAAGCCAAGTGTTCCAGCAGTACTTGTCTCTGCAGAACCTGTTCCTGCCAAGGCTCCTGTTCCGGCAGCAGCTCCTGCCAAGCCACCACTCCCAGCTGCACCCCCCGCAGCTGCAAAGCCTCCTGTGCAAGTGAAACCAGCTCCTCCTCCTGCACCAAAGCCATCTGCTCCAGCTCTGTCAACACCAGCACCACCTCCTGCCTCACTGAAAGCCCCTGCACCGAAACCACCTGTTCCAACTCCATCAATCCCAGCACCAGCTGTAGCTCCCACCAAACCGATGGGCTTCAATGCACCACCACCACGCCCTGCACCTGGTGTGCCTTCTCCGAAACATCCCGCACAGACAACACCACCTCCTGCCTCACTGAAAGCCGCTCCACCACAACCACTTGTTCCAGCTTTCCCACCGAAAGGTCCTACTCCTGGTGTAGCCAAACCCCCACCTCCTGCAGCCTTTCCCAAATATCCCGTGCCCAAGGGACCTCCTCCCGCCCCACCAAAGGGAATGGGAGGAGGTGAGGGTGGTCCCGTTATGAGCGTTTATGCCCTCGGTGGACCTGCTGCCCAAGGCAGCAACGCTCCCAGGTCATTTGCCGCCCAACCACCCCGGGAAAAATGAGACTTTCGCGGTTCAATATTGTGCTTCCTTTAAAGAATATAATTTTGACAAAATCTATCGTCTAGAATGTGTAAATATTAATGACGTAGGAATGGATCGGGATTATGTAATTGTATTGGCTTGTTCATTGTTCGTTAGTAGGATAGAGTGGTGCTTTTGTTTCAGTTGAGCTTCCCATGATCATGGTTGCGTCCGGTCAATGTTTAACTTGAATTGTTCACTATTTGAATGTATGGTGACAATAAATAATTAAAATAAACAAATGTTGGTGGAAATGAAACATACAAGCTCGTCATGTACTGCATTTATACAGAGGAACCTAGAACACACTTTCGCCCTCTACACAGAACCCTTGATACCCAGTTTCTAGAAAGCAGCTTCATAGACAACCTCATACTGTTGTTCGTTCGGCGCGTCAGTGTACGGGGGGGAGGGCAAAAAAAGACACTTTGGCCGAGTCACATATCAGCAAAGTTTTCGCAGCCCAGACAGAGGACGTGGATACGAGTACCAGGGCGGAAGATACCCAAGATGTTCCTCGATAAGCAGGAGCTGGCTCATCACCTTCATGTACCAAAATATGAAGCCATCTCCAATCGCAGCCGGACTGAAGAAGGCCTATGGAATTCATGTCACCTCCAAACAGCTGCGAATTCTTGTATCGAGTCACCCATGGATAGCTACCTGGGACCGGCACTCTTGATCTGGAAGACCTCCAACATCGAGCAGCTCCGACAACGTCGCTACGGTCCAGGATATCATCTTCACCGCAGTCGCCAAGGCGCGGGTTGGTGGTATGGACCGGAAGTTCCTGGAATGGGAAGACGATCTTCGTGGACCCCGGACTGAAAGTGAATGCTAACGGTTACATCGAGCAGCTCGAGGAGAATACTCGCCTTCATGTTGTCGCCTGTACCATCTTGGAAACTTCGTACTGCTACAGGATTGGGTGCCACCACATGGAATCGAAGGGCGTTGGAAAACTCTCGCCTACTTGGAATGGAAGGGCGTTGAGTACCTGAAGAAGATGGAATATCCAAGTGTGTCACCTGACCTAACCCCTCAATTACCCGGTTCGGGCGGAGCTCAACAGGGTGGTCCACAGTGGCGGAGAAATCAACGGCCTTCTGACTCGAGGCGCACCGAATCACGTTGTGCGTGGCGTGATCTCTCGGATCCCGCCCCAGGAAGGCGATGTGGCAGCAGTAATCGCGATACGTGTAAAATGCTGGCCTGTTGTATACTAATCGTCAGTAGAAATATCAGATCAAGAATCCAATAAATAGGTATAACGTAGTATATCGATCTTCGCAAAGTCAAGGAGGAAAGTGTCTTTTGGCCGTTACCCTGGTGAATAAACCAGCGATTGCACATCGTGAGTAGTGGCCTTCGATATTGAGCCTACGCGCGCCAAGTGTTCCTAATGAGAAAAAAAAAGCAAAAAAATCATGGAGAACACTGAAAGGGCACCCTGGCAGCCTCACTGTACGAGTTTCTCCGACTTGCCCGTTTTGCCGGCAACGCGACATCCTACCGCCGCTGACCCACCAATCTTTTTTCGCCCCATCCAATGCTGTTACATCGGCCAGTGTACAGCAAGCGTTTCGAGAGCGACTAGGATGACAGTTTACTGGATATCGGATCGTAGCGTCCGCGAGTGCTCCGTTCAGCGCATGTCCGCGTGTACAGTACCAGATGCGCTTATACCAGCGGGCTATCGAACAGCGTATAAACTATCAGTCTTAACCCCCGCTATATCAGCAGATTATGCCAGCCATGCACGCCCGTACAGCAGCGTTTCGGCGAGCATTTGCCTCAAAAATCAATACGCCGTGCCGGTGGACGTTGGACAAATGATGGTTAAGACAGGCAGTCTTGCTCACGATGGTTTCCCCACTCGGCCTGAAATGCTAGTAGGGGCGCTATGTAGTGGGGAAATGGCGAAAGAACGGAGTGAAACGGTCAAAATCCGGCGAAGAAAAAGCCTCCGTTCTCAGTGACTTGAAAATCATATTCGAAGTTCTTTAGTTAGGGCCATCTTGCCAATCAGACTACTGAAGTCCTGGCTGCAATATATGTACCCCATGTATGCATGCAGCATCACGGCCGCTTCATACCAATCCCTTCGCTTCATAATTTGCTTAGCAAATGAATGAATACGAGCGTCAGAAACGGTCGTCCATTTGTGGGCGGGCGGGCGTGGCAAGGGGCGTGTGGGATGGGATGGTTGGTTGCCATCAATAGTGCGTCTTATAGGGCAGCCTTCCGTCGGAAAGCAGCCACGGAGCGGCCTGTCCGAGGCCACGCGAATTCGTTAAGCCAGTTCCTTAGAAATCCTCACATCTGAATGTATGCGATTCCATGACCTCACTTCTTCCCTCACCCGCCCCGCCTAGTCGCGAAAATTCTTCGGCTGAGAAAAGTGGAATTTTCTTGGCGCGAAAAAAAACAAGAAAAAAAGTGGTAGGAAGCTAAAGAGCTCAGGTCATAGGGGAGCGAGAGGTCGTATTATGGAACTAGGAAGGGTTCGTATTTTCAAGGAAATGATCACAACGCGATGGCGTGCCGTGGTCACAAGGCGATACAAGGCTCGTCAAATTAAGCGTAAGGTTCGCAGCTGCAAGGTTTACTCACTTTACGCCTTCATCCCACGATTGGCAAAGCGCCAAGGGCAGCCGTCGCTGGTTTCTTTCGTGGTGGGCAAACCATGGCGCGCTTGTTTTGTTGGGCGGTTTTGTACGCTACTGTTATAACGTCGCTATTCCATAAGTGAAGCACTGTTTGAAGAAGCTGAAGAATTGAGGCCCAAGGACCTGAAAGCGGGATTGCTTGAGGAGGTAAGCAGCTTCCTGTGTAAATTCTTTACTATTTTACTCATGATTATTAGATTTCAGTATGGCAGCCAAGAAGCCGGCAGTCACTCATGTGATATTCGATTTCGATGGTCTACTAGTTGACACTGAACCCAGTTATACACTTGCCAATCAAGCTATGCTTAATAAATTTGGCAAGCAATTCACCATGGAATTGAAAGGAGGTGATTATTTCGGCGGTATTTTTCAATTTGATGCATTCTGTTGTACAAAGAAATCTGCATGCTACGCTGCGATAATTCAGCTATTCCTAATAAGGTCCTAAGCATGCTCTGTCTTTTCACTGGCATTTTGTCAGCGTAGGGTGACGCGCCAAGGAGTAGTGTTGCGCAATTGGTTACCTTCATAGTTGGGAAACACTGGAAGTATTCAGATAGGTTAAGCTTGCTGCGTGCACTACTATGCATAGATCATATAATTAGGATAGCTCGGAGCAAGGCAAGTGAGGGCGGCGGACTGCGGTAGATTACTGTGGAATATTGGGTATATTTTTTGTGAAGAATTATTCTTCTAGGAATGATGGGTCGCAAGAACATGGAGGCAATCGCCTGGCTGTTGGATCAGGTTACTAGTACATTTACATCTGTTCAAATTATATAATTCTTATCTGAAGCATCCATATACCACATTCGGAGCATTTTTATCACTAAGTGTGACATTATTCAATAATCGCTCAATATAGGGCGTACTATTGCTCAGGAGAGTGCCCTTTCACGCAATTCCTGTCATCATGTCGGGCATTTCAGTAAGGGGGGGGGCAAAACCTGCCACCTCAGATGTTTTTTCTATGGGTTAGCAAGCATCGAACTGTTCACGGAGGTGGTGCATTTTAAGGAAGACACGTTGCATCGTTGAATAGGCATAACTTGTCTAGCGACGGTAAACTTGGGATTGAGGAATTGACCGAAATGATCATGCTGGGAGAAGGTGCGAAGAAAGGATTTATAACGGTTGCAGCAATAGAACGCTGGAATGAAAATTGCCAATTATGCTAAGAATGAATGGGCTCATACGAAGTCATCTTGCTGACATATCGGCAACTTTAAAAATCCTGTGAACAACAAAGCTCCCGCACAATACGAGCTTCATTTCGATGCACGTTACACGATTGCACCTATGGCACTCCGTTACAAACTTCATTTCTACTCCACGTGCACGGCATTCAGTCTAAGGAAATGGTAATAAACGATTGTGATTAAGGGGATAATATTTTGCCTAAGCGGGGGCGAGGGAGGGGGCTATAAGAGTCCGAACCAAACCCTCCATGCGAAAGCAGTTTTCGGGCTCTGTTAGAGTGGCTCTCACGATCCAGAGTAGTTCTTCGCACCTTCTCCCAGCATGATCATTTCGGTCAATTCCTCA